GCCTTCAGTCGCGCTGGGGCTGTCCTAATGAGAGCATCTAGTCCTTTAGCGAGGAGGTCTAGGGCCTCATCTCAGAGGGCCCGGCCCTCTCAGGCTTGCTGGAGGGCGGCGGCGGCGGATCGTGGCCCCCTTCCCAAGGGCCGGATAGGGGGGGGCGTGAGGCCCCTCGGTCGTGGAGGTAAGGAGGTAGGGGGAGGAGGGGTCTGGGGGAGGCTATGCATAGAGGCTGAAAGGCCCCTAGGGGCCTGCGAGAGGCCCGCGGCTGGCTGTGAGGCCATCGCGGGCGAGGGTTCTGGTGTGGGGGGTAGATTGGGTGGTGTTAGTGTTAATGTGAAGGTCCCAGCGCGGCACTAACAGTGGGTGCCGGTGGGGTGGTGTGTAGGAGGGAAGCTGTTCCCCCTAGCTGCGCCATGGGCAGACTGACGCTCCTGAGCCTGGAGCCAACGGAAGGCGAGGCGTGGTTCATTTCTAGCAGGCACTTGCCTCAGCTATCTGCCTCGTACCTTACCCATCTGAATCGAATCAGGTACTTGCCCAGAGAGGTGACTGGCACGGATTTCGACGCAGAGAATTGACAGGGTACGTACCTTGGCTTGAGTAGCGTTCAGAAAGCTCCTATGGAAGTGAGTGGACAGTGCTCGTCCATCACCGTGAGCCACATCCGCCACCGTGAGCCATGTCCATAATCGATTGCCATGCTTAACATGTAATCGTGAGCCACGTCAACCATCGTGACCAATGTGCAGCCTTCTCCTGTTTCTCCGTCCAGAACACATTCGACTTTATCCCCTGTCTTTGCAAGCGTCCGCGGGCTGATGATGTGACGTAATGCTTTATGGATGCATAGTGGATGGTGGATGTTGATTCATTCTTGAAGCCAAGTCAAACTACGGCGATGCATGCTGCAGATGAGTCTTGATTTCGGACCCTTGAAAATTGATGGAGCCGCCACCCCATCCCACGAGGCATCTATATATAACGATGGTGACGGTTCTGCATGAGGCCGGCATGAGGCCGAATCTGATTCGGCACATCGGAAGTGGCCTGGAGAACCAGATGGCGGCAAAACTGAACCCGCGGGGAAGGGACCTAGAGACAATGGCAGTGGAATGAATCGTGGGAATGGCAAGACACAGAGCCACTGCAAGTCGAGCCTTCCATCTGTCAAAAGAAAAACGACAGGAGGGGCCAATCACCTCGGGCTGAGCAGCTCTTTCCCTCCTTCCCCCTCTGGTCGCCCCTGCCTCCGGAAACACCAAACTCCCTTACCTTCGGGCAAGGGAGGCACCTACGAGGGCACCTACACCCACAGCCCTCCGCTCTGCTCTTCGAAGCTTTTGCACTTTCGCCTTTCTGCTTTGTTTCCTTTTTCCCCCCTTCCTTGCCAACTTCACAATCACTCCACGATGTCAGCAAGCCAGTCCCAAGATGCGCCCTGGACGCTCGACCTCCCATACCGTGAACCACCTCGGCAAACCTCTCCCGCGCATTCAACCCCGACGACCCCGTCACTCTGCTCAATGCCAGAGATATCCAACCTCGTTGACCGTCTTCATGCATTGACAAGTCTTCCGCAAGATCAACAAGACCATTTCGTCATCCTCGACGTATGGGACGAGCTTCGCGCCGCATACTGTAGAACTGTTCATGCGCCCGCGCCCAACGGCAGCGCAGTCAAGTGTACGTGGCCAGTGTTCGTCACTCGATCTTTCGGCGACCGCGCCGACCGAGTGCTTGGAGTTGTCTACAGACCACAGTACCAGGCCATGGTTCGACGTGACTGGAAAGCCCTCGTGCGTTTCTACCGTGTCCAGCGTTCTCTCAAACTCACCGCCCCTGGCGTGTTCCTTCACCTTGGCCGCCAGATCGCCACTTCTTCACGATCTCTGAAGAGGCTGTGCAGGCTGTTAGACCACCCACGTAAGTTTAGCTTCCAAGGAAGCGAAGTCCTCTCTGTGTTGCAACAAGCCATGATTGCCAGATACGACGGTGCCGAAGCACCAGAGCTGGAACTGCGGGACCTCAACACGGCCGTCCAAGGTAAGTCAACTTACAGCACACAGCTGCAGAGACTGACAAGTTGGACGCAGAACTCAACCGACGCAGACAGGCTGGTCGTGCTACCGAACACGGTATCGCGACAGCTATGGGCAAGCTTACGATAGGCGACACCTGTCCCCCAATTCAGCCAGAGGACAAGCAGTCAAAGGCTTGAGATTACAGAGGCTACGGGGAAACGGTGTTGGAAGGGATGCGAGGCAAAACGCGGTCGAACTTCGGGTATCAGGAAGGAAGTGGGAGGTAGCAAAGCAAACTATTGGAATTGATTCGTCTCCACTCGCAAATTTGTCTCTATTCGCGCGGGGAAGTGGCATGATCTGCGATGGTACCGTTCACGACCGAGGAGCACGAGCTCTTTGCGCGGGACTTTGATACAAAGGCTGGCTTGTGTAATCCAAGCTGCTGGGCATGTCCACGGGACTTGCGGTGTGGCAAGACAAGTAGAGACTGAATGATCTGAAAAACGGACGTTGGGACGGGAAAAACACTGGAAACGTTTGCCCACCCAAAGCTACGCCAACACACTGGTCACCCGTGACTTTCGCAGAGATCAAGTTTTCCCCCTTCCTCCCCGTGACGATCCTGTTGTCCCGATGTTTACTCATTCTCGCCCCCCGATTCAAAGCCGTTGCTTCTTCAGCGTTAGCTTCAGCCAGCTCCCAAAATGCAACTTGGGAAAGACACTGAGGTGAAGTGCGGAGGCGTGGACAGACCTCACATTCCGCGGTCCAAACCAACGCAAGCTCCACCAAGGTGCATGGACACTCTAGGTAGGTAAGGCGTGGGTACAGCACGTCACATCACTGGGGTGGACGGGCCCGGGCCGTTGCGAGCACTCCACCCGCCGCTAGGTACCTCTGAAGTCTGAACCTTCACAAGGGCGCGGTCAACGTGCAGCGCACCAGCCACAACCGCCGCCACTAGCCCCAAATGCGCGCAGCAGCCGCCTGGACATCCCCGGATGCGGTGCAGGCATGACCAAAGCCAACGGTCGCCGTGAAGGAGTACTTTCCACTTACCGTCGAGCCGTTGCAAGCACCGCGGCTTTTATCTGTATTTTGCTCTGCCGCCCGGTATTGAGTCTTGACATGGTTGTTGACCATGCCCGGGCTGTCGCCGTGTCATGGTCGTCGACGCGCAGTCGGAGGGTGTGCACACAGAGGAGGAGGGAAAGAGTAGAGAGGATCTGTGGATGGCTGCCATTAAGCATGTTGATTCAACTATTTCCCAGCCCCTTTCTCCCTTTTCTGCTTTTGCATTATGTTGGTTTGGGGACCGATCCGACGGGTGCTTCCATGAATGCGCCGTGCCCAGTTAGCATGGAGGTGGAGACAAGAAAAACGAGGAAAAAACGAAGCACGCGCCATGAGGAACAACAGTCTCTGCAGGATGGCCACGATGAGCGTTCACCATGATCATGGTTTTGGGGCATCTCAGCAGACACGCTCTCCTGACCACCTTCACCCTCCGCGCGTTGCTGTGCAGCCACGGCGGCTTTATTGCTGAGGACGACAGCCGACATGCATGTATGGCCGTAGCGTTGGGGCTGTGACTGCGCCCGGGTGCCCTGAGGATGAAGTTGCCGAAGTGGTAAAAGAGACCTGAAGCAGAGTACCTATTTCGAGGTCGACGATGCGGTGGGGTGTGGTGCTGCCGTCGTGTGGGTACCTTAGTCGAGTCAGCCAATCACAATTGTGCATGGCTCAGAGCTCACAATTTTTGGTAAGCAAAATGTGAGCTTCGAGCCATGGCCCGTGCCACTGTGATGGCCGTGTAAGCACCAACACTGCACTGTGAAGCTGACAAAAGTGCCGATTTTTCGTCACATTTATTTGTGCCCCACCCCGCCACACCTCTCGCCCAGGCACGTCGCTCTACGGACCGACCAGTTTTGCTCACTTGTCTCCCGCCACGGACAACAGATGGGATCGCCATCTTCACTACCTCACACTCTCGATTACGTCCTGCTGACTCACTAGGCTCCGAGCTTTTGCCGTCTTCCTTGTTCCTAATCGTTATCTTTTGCTGTAGAATACTGCAGACTGTCCATCTGAGTGCCATTCCACGTGTCTTTCGTCCATCCTGGCTGTGACGCCTGGTCTTTTTCTCGAAAGCGCTCTAATAATCGCAGTTGAGGCGCCCAAAATCATGTCAAACTTGGCGCACGGTGCTGCCCCCTCCCTTGCCCCGCTGCCGGTTGTCCCCTACACAGTGTACCCAGAGCAAACAACCAAGGCAGGCAGGTAGGTGGGCGCCTGCCTGAGAGACAGTCTACCTGCAGCCTTCTTGCCTTGAGATGGCTTCAATGGCGGCGACCACCGCGACCGCATCCGTCTCAACTCCCTCCAGCTCCTCGCTTGCCCTTCGCAATGGCTCCACCTTGTTGGCAGTTGACAAGTCCAATATTCTGTTCCACATCGCTTTCGATCACTGCAAGCAAGACAAGCCCTTCTTCATCACCCTAGTCAAACCTGCCGAGGCAAACACAAAATGGGAGGACTGCATAGATCGCCTGAATAGTGCAGCCGCTGATCGCAGGGGAGCATACCACCACTCCAACCCCAGTACTAGATCAAAGAAAGGAATCATGCGACACTACGTCCAAAAAGTCACTGAAGCATCAACGTCTGTAGTGGAGTGCTTAGGGGGCTGAGTGCGGTATCCCGCTGGGGCAGAATATCTGCCTGCGTGGGATGCGATGGCCGTGGCCTCCACTCGACATGCCCGTGCGGGGCACCGAGATGACGATGTTGAGCGGAGGCGGGAGTGGTGCAGTGGGATGGCCCCGTACCAATTTGCAGTGGAAAGGTCAGCAAATTTGATCTCTGGCCAGCACGGTCCTGACCACCCGGGCGGCTTCTCAACTGGGAGAAGGGCCTGCCGTTCCCCTCTAACTTTCCATCCCGACCCTTGCGGCTACCTGGTGAGTACCCTGATGGATGAACCCCGCAGAAAAATTCGCAGTTGGCCGGAGCATTTGCTCAAGCAAGGTACATTCCCTCCGCAAGACTGGGCGAATGACGGCATTCTTGCCGCACCGTACGTCAGACCTGACCTTCTGGTTCCATTTTGACTCCTGCTACCTTCCCTTCAGATCGAAGACACGGAAGTCGATCTTTCCATGAATTTGCTGGTTCCACGTCTTTCGCAACAGCTTGCCTGTCGTTCCTCCCTCTATCCTGTTCTTCCACCTCAGTGGTTTCAAATCTTCCTCTACATCCACGCTTTGAAGCCATCGTTGTGGATGTTTTCTCGTGCTGTTATGTCGATTATCTTTCTGACATCTATCCAAGAGCCCTGAAAATCCGCCTCCCTCCACGCCGATGCAATGGCTCGACAACCGATGCCTCGAGAATCGATGCCTTGACAATCGATGTCTCGAAGACCGATGCCTCGATGGCCAATGTTGCCCTTCGATTTCGAAAACCGATGCAGCAAGAAGACAGCGCCCGAACCAATGTTATGCCTCGACGCCCCTCCGACTCAAAAATCGACAACGGACTCGACATCTCGCCATCCCTTTGTCGTAATGACCCTCCGTGTCTTCATGGCCCTCCCTGAATCTCGAAAGTGTCTCTCTGAGCACGTCTGGTGCAGTTGAGCCGTCAGGCGTCGATACCAGTGACGGTTCCGCTGGGCTTCATCGCGGCGGTGGCTTGGATAGGGGGCGCAACCGGGGCGCAGATGCCGATGGCGACGCTTCCACTGCATTGATCCTGCCACACACAGGCAGTTCGTTCTTGTCAAGAGCATCGGCGAGACTAGGCTCAGAAGCGTTTGACTGGGCTGTGGTCATGTGAACGAGGGGACGAAAGCGATGCACGACGACAGATGCCCTGAGTCCTTAGACTCGACATACGTCGGGGAGTCACAGTGTCTGCCTGTCTCCTTAGTCTGCACTCAGGCACCGGGTTCCCGAAGATAATTAGTCAAACAGAAGCCAACAGCCGGGGCCGCGGGCCGCTCTCGAAGTGCTGGAGTCAACGTCCTCCAGCACGTTCTCCAGCCCAAAAGTCGCCTTGCCGAAACGGCTACTAACGGAGCTGAATGCATGACTTTCCTGCACCGTCTGGAACTGCGGCGGACTTCCCAATCAAGATGCTGATTCTAGCAGACTCATGAGTCGTCCAAGTTCCAAACCTTCCGCCAATGTGCCTTGACATCGACCCCAAACCCGACGCCGTCCGCCGTCATAGTAGCTAATCTCTCTTGGAGCCGACCGTGACTCTAAATGCCTTTGCACACCCACCGCTGCCCCCCAACGCCAGGCAGGCGATCTCCAAGGCCAGTTTCATCATGAACGTCATATATCCAGCAAGGGCAGTGTCGTCGCCGGCGATGTCCTGCTGAAGGAGCTGCCGAAGTTCTGCGTATTTGCAGCCGCAAACGACGACCAGGCGGCTTGACGGCGAGGCATTGTCAAACCACGTTCTATCATTCTACAAGTATGATATCTACAAGCTGAATGGGTTTCCGTCCAGAAGACTTGCAAATCATGCTCCCGCTCGAAGCCGAGCAAGATGAATTTCACAGTCAGCGACAACTCTGCTTGGTTCTGGCTCAACCACTACCATTGTCGGTTGGCCTAAAGACTGACAATGAAGTGCAAAACAAAGCATCGATTATCAGTGAAGGATGTGCGGGTATCTGTGCTTGTTTGTTTGCGTACTGTGACAGACTAGTTCCGGAGTGCTTCCGCTGAGTTGTCTGGTTGAACGAGACTCACGTTTGATGCGCTGGTCTCGAACCTGAGTATTCATGAAACTCAGTCACGCCATTCTTGACTGACCGACTAGAAGAAGTTCATCAGTATCTAGTGTGAGGTTTCCTTGTCGTTACCTTTCTTTCTGTGCAGCGCATCCTGCTGCGGGTGAGCGGAGAGTGATTTCCTGTAGGACTTACGAGACTTCCACGGTTCTCACCGGATGCTACAATCAAGCAACCCCTCAGCCCTAGACGTCATGTCGTTCTGGGAAGAGGTCCGGCAACACATGACGGAAATGCTTGGGCCTCGTAAAACTCCCAAAAGGATCAAGCTGACTTTTAATGTTGGGTTCCTTGCTTTGCCTTGGACTGGCCATCCGGCGGGCGATGTTGACCAGAGACAATCCCGTCCGCTGCGTCCTTGAGTGCCTTTCTTCTCTGAAGGCGATATTAACTCATCGATTGCGGTCGTCATTTTCCATGGCTAGATTCGAGTCTCGTTTGAGGTACCTGTTTGTTAGTTCGGACCCCGGCACGTCAAATGACAAGCTTTGTATCGGTGCCAAATTGACTTGATCGAAAGTCGAAGCGCCGCCTCCCCTGTCGTGCACTCTGCATCGAAGTCAACAACCATATGAATCAAACCCACAGCATACAGTCAGTTATAGTATGTGTTGTTGGTTCTGCAGATGGAGTTGACTTGGCCTGTGACTTTGCTAGTTGACCAGAAACCGCCATATAGACCGACTGTCTCTCATTCTGTAGACACACTTACCTAAATGACTACAACCCTTATTGACGACCGAGCCGTTGATCGATACACCAAATGCTTGGCGTTAGGTCTCGTTGCACTGCACCGTCTGCCTTGCGGGTGCGTTATAGCACCTGAGCCGTCTCAGCAGTATTCTTTACCATGTTTACGCTCTGGTACGACAATTGAACGGCATTCGCGCGTTGATTTATGTCAATACTGATGCTCGGATTTGGCAGGTAGTTGATAGGATGGTTCCGGATATGCGTCACACGGCGACTGATTGAGTTACCAACTCAGTTGCGGCGGCAGATGATGGACAATTTCCAAGAACTGTTGTGTTTTTCAGGGGTTCATGGCAGAGGGGCATATTAAATAGAAGTAAGATTAGACAATGCAACGCCAGGGGTGATGTCATCTCAAAGATGCAGGGGAATGCTCAGGCAACGGGGGGGAATCGAGTTGAGCCGGAGTTCATCTCGTAGTGTATCCACTATAACGACATGGACAGCAGTTATTTGAGTACCCCGCACTCGACCGCAGTTCTCAAATCCAAGGCATCTTCTTAAATGCAAGCCTTTGAAGACGTCTCAAGCCTTTTGGAAACAAGGCGGACAGTCCAGCCACGAGCCCAAGCTGCCGGGGATATCACAGTTGTTGGCCTTTCTGACGGCGTCAGAAACACCCTGGAAACTTACATTCTTGACAAATGAGCCTCAAGCTCCGGCCTCCGACGTTCGGTCTTCCCCGCCTATCTTTGCAAGCAGTCACCTGAAGCGACTAACAACATGAATAGGCACACCATAAACACCACGTAATCTCAGCCAATTTGAACTTGGCAAAAGCACATTTGATTTCATTGAACTCGTATCAAAGTACTAAATGATTTGATTGCAAAAGTCCAAACTTTTGAACGCAGCCAGACGGCACAGCCTATGATGGAAAATTGGGGATTGCTTTGATTTGCCCCAGCTGACGTATCTTTCTGGCAGCTGCATTGTTGACTGCGCCTCGATAAGCGTACAGACTATGACAAGAGTTGATTGCAGTGGCCTTTATACTTGATGGATGACGGTGCGAACTTTCACCGATAACTAAAGCTGTCCTTCTTGATGTGCAGTGGCCTTTTGAGATATTTTGGCTGACTATGTGGGCGTTGAATCTTGTTGATGGTAGTAGTGAGAGCCTGATCGTAATTTGAAGGCGACAAACATCCCTTTAGTGATGTAATCAGCGGCGACGTAAACAGGGGAGCAGAGGATGTCGAGGCAACGGAAAAGCGAACACGACACATGCTGATCCCAAACAACGTCGTCACCAGCGCATAGGCGGTCAAAGCCTCCGAGCCTGACAATACCTATTGCCTATGCTCAGGAAGGAAGCAGAAAGCTGAGTCATGGGGTAAGCCATGAACTTGTTACACGTGTGGCTTCCGTAAGCCGCGAGCGCTGACGCGAGGTGAAGCGAAGCTGAAGAGGGTTTTCAATTACTAGGCACTGGAACAGTAAGATCTAGTACAAAAGTGTGGCAGCAGACGAAAGCAGACACATTAGGAAGAAAGTTGCACCTCGGCGTGTGTCCTTCTTGTCCAGAGACGCGAACCGCCCACGCTTCGCTGTGAACTTGCAGTTAGACGGACGAACTTTAGATCATGCTCGAGCACTTCTAAACGGTTCAGGTCATATGCTTGGTTAAGCAGCGTGAAATCCAGCTGGGATTCATGATTTGTCCCTGCATACTTACATGCTCTTCTCATTAGCTGGAATGAAAATAGACGACCCCCTCCTTTTGTTCTTCTCTCTGTTTCGATGGGTCTTCAGATTCGACCGCGTGAATCAAATCTGAAGCTGCTTACTTCCAGAATTGACCTCTATCTTCTTAGAGACTCAGTCAATGATGCGTCTTCGCGGCGTATGCTGCGGTGGCCAATTTGCGAGCTTCTTGAACGGCTGTTGAAGTTCCCCGCGCCATACACTGCAGTCATACTAGCATGAAGGAAACAAGTTGACCAAGTTGATCTTCAAGCGAGCATCACGGCCAGCCCGTGGCCGACGAAGCAAGCACGAGCCAAGCCGTCTCAAGAATGTGCTGTTGATCCCGCTGAGAGTGAGATGTCCTTCAAAAGAAGGTGGAAAGGTGGGGCAAGTTATTCTCCATACCCTGCAGAGAGTTCTTTGATGCAGTGGCCGCTTCTGACCACGACGTTGACAGACCAGGTCGCCCGCACCCATGACGATAGGCGTCTATCTGCCGGGCCATTGCCGGGCGAGGAGTGCGCTCGGGTCGGCTGATGAACCCCAGGAAGACGAATACTCAGCTTTGTGATCTCAGCGGCGCGGGTCTGCTCAACGACGGACCGCAGATGAATGCGGGTTGAGGTGAATCAACACATCTCTGCTAAGCGCTATGAAGAGAGCACTCCCATACCAAATGCAGCGCTAGTCCGTGAGAAAAGTAATCTATTTCTCGTATTTTCAAATTTTGCTCCGGTCACAAAGATGCTCAAGTTGTTGCTTGTATTCTAGGCCTCCAAACTAGACCCCTTTGGTTGCCTTGGCCTTCGCATTCGAGGAGCCTACATAAAACCGCGCGGTCAAACTCTAAGAAACCATTCCTAATCAGTTAAACACTGCGATTTCGGCTGACCAAACCGTCTGAGTCTTGATTAATGCGCAAGAGGTGCATTAATGGTGTACGGCATGCATAACATAGATGTCTTGCAGGTTTATCATACATGGCCGTTGCCTTTACCTATTTTTTCACTATGAAAGCAGTCTCTGAGATGAAAGCAACTCAGGTAGATCGTTGATTACCGTCTTGTTAACGCACAAGTCACGCATATCAACTGATCTTCCTCACGCGCCCAGAGGTTGCGGCGGGAAGGGTTTCTTATTGGCCGGCTGTGGTTGCGACTAGGCTGGCCTTGAGAACGATGAGAAAGACAGAAGACGGGGGAGCTTCTGTAGGAAGCAGCTTATGAGTGTGGAAGCTTTCAAGTGAGTGGGAACTCTCAGTGAGTGAGGACGTCTTTTCAGTGAGTGTCCCAATATAATGGGAGCTTTTTAATGAGCTTTG